TGGAACTCCCCCACCCTGCCCGCTGGGGGGGCAGGAGCTTGGGCTTAGAGGTGTTTTCACTCCCCGGTGCTGCCCTGGCATGCTTGGTTGTCCTGCCCAGGTCTCCTGTGCTGTCCGGTCGCTTTCGATCATGTAAAAGCAATGCTGATGTACCTGATTTTCTTACAATAAAACCTTCACAAAGCCGCTGGGCCTGGCCGCGTCGGGCTCTTCCTGGCCGGGGGGAGGGGATGGCCTGGCAGCACGGCTCTGAGAATGCAGCTTAAAGGGGTGGGGGCATGTGACTTGACAAATCTCTTACCGGGACAGCCTGTGTTCCTGGGCACTGCCGTGGGGATGGGCAACCTTACAGGTGCCCCTTCGCTCGGGCACGCGCTCCCTCTGGAATCCCTCTGGGCCTTGCCATCAGGGCTGTCCATTGGAGACAGAAATCTGGGCAGCTGGTGCTTTCTGTACCTGTTAAACCCAGGGCCCTGGCTAGATTCCAGCGTTGCTAGTTAATCCCCTGTCCTGAGCCACCCTCCCCCAGAACATTTAAAGCGGCTGTGGCTCCATCTCAAGCAATGGTGCAGCGTTGCTGTGTGCTGTTACGGCTTCCACCCCAGAGGTGGCTGCACTACAGTGGGTGATCTCTGTAAAGGCTGCTCGGGTCCCAAGGGTGACGGGCGCTGGGTAAGTGTAGCTGGAGTGGTGGAACCAGAAGGAGCACTGTGGTAACATGGGTGGGTGGCTGCCCACCGGCCAGACCTCGGCGCTAAACCTGGTTTCAAATCAGTTAATAGGTTTAATCTCCTGGACATCAGCCCCCACCGTGGGGACCAGAAGAGCTCAGCAGGCTGGGCGCAGAGCTGGCCCTTGCTCCCTTCTAACGGCGCCAAACCTCCCCAGCGCGGTTCGGCTCACGGGTGCTTTGGTGGCACTGCAGGTGCAGGGCTCCCTGGGGCTCGCTGCTCCTGCAATCAGCACAGCTGGTCTGTCCGCTGGGTGCTCAGAGCACGCGGCTCCTGGTGACACAGAGCAGTCGCTCTTTGTCCAAGGGCCAGGATTGTGGTTCCCTGGAAGCTACAATGGGACCTCACACAACTGGGTGACTGGCCAACAAAATGGCAGATGAAATTCAATGTTGATAAGTGCAAAGTGATGCACATTGGAAAACATAATCCCAACTATATACAACATGATGGGGTCTAAATTAGCTGTTTCCACTCAAGACAGAGATCTTGGAGTCATTGTGGATAGTTCTCTGAAATCATCCACTCAATAAGAACATAACATAAGAACGGCCGTACCGGGTCAGACCAAAGGTCCATCTAGCCCGGTATCCTGTCTACCGACAGTGGCCAATGCCAGGTGCCCCAGATGGAGTGGACCAACAGGCAATGATCAAGTGATCTCTCTCCTGCCATCCATCACCACCCTCTGACAAACAGAGGCTAGGGACACCATTCCTTACCCATCCTGGCTAATAGCCATTAATGGACTTAACCACCATGAATTTATCCAGTTCTCTTTTAAATGCTGCTATAGTCCTAGCCTTCACAACCTCCTCAGGCAAGGAGTTCCACAGGTTGACTGTGTGCTGCGTGAAGAACTTCCTTGTATTTGTTTTAAACCTGCTGCCTATTAATTTCATTTGATGACCCCTAGTTCTTGTATTATGGGAATAAGTAAATAACTTTTCCTTATCCACTTTCTCCACATCACTCATGATTTTATAGACCTCTATCAAATCCCCCCTTAGTCTCCTCTTTTCCAAGCTGAAGAGTCCTAGCCTCTTTAATCTCTCGTCATATGGGACCCGTTCCAAACCCTTAATCGTTTTAGTTGCCCTTTTCTGAACCTTTTCTAGTGCCAGTATAGCTTTTTTGAGATGAGGAGACCACATCTGTACGCAGTATTCGAGATGTGGGTGTACCATCGATTTATATAAGGGTAATAATATATTCTCAGTCTTATTCTCTATCCCCTTTTTAATGATCCCTAACATCCTGTTTGCTTTTTTGACCGCCTCTGCACACTGCGCGGACATCTTCAGAGAACTATCCACGATGACTCCAAGATCTTTTTCCTGACTTGTAGCTAAATTAGCCAGTATCATATTGTATGTATAGTTGGGGTTATTTTTTCCAATGTGCATTACTTTACATTTATCCACATTAAATTTCATTTGCCATTTTGTTGCCCAATCACTCAATGTGCAGCGGCGTCAAATTAGCAAACAATGTGGGGCATCATTTAGACAGAAAATATCATGTTGCCTCTATCAATCCATGGTACGCCCACATCTTGAATACTGCGTGCAGATGTGGTTATCCCGCTCCAGCCCTGGAAGGATTAAAAGCCAGCCCTTGGAGAGGGCTAGGGCTGGGAGCCAATCAGAAAAGGCTTAGGGGCAGCCAATCAGGGCCACTCTGGGCCCTATAAAAGAGCTGTGGGGCCAGAAAGCAGTCAGTCTCTCTCTAGCTTTGGAGTGAGTTGGCCTTAGCTGCCTGAAGGAGCAAAGGGTCCCGTGGACAGAGCTGTGCTGGGGAAGGGGAAGGCTGAGGCCTGGCAGGAAGGCCTAGGGAGGTACTGGGCTGTGGGGAAAGGCAGCAGGTCCAACCCCCTTGCCAATGATGAGTGGCCATTACAAAGGAGAGGGGCTAAATGATGACTGGCAGTAGCCACTGAGGCAAGGTGGGCATAGGGGGAGGGGGTTCCCCTGGGAAGGGAGACCCAGAGTGTGGGCAGCACCCCGAGGGAAAGGGGTGCCGGGGTCCAGGAGAGACATGGAGGCCTGAGGCAGGCGAGACACTGGCCAGCAGGGGGTGCTCCAAGACTGGAAAGTGCTAATTCCTGGACTGACCCACAGGAGGTGCCGGGGCCGAGAGTGCTCCACCTGTTACACCCCATAGATCCATTGGACTTGGGAAAGGTTCAGAAAAGGGCAACACCAATGATGAGGGGTCTGGAATGACTCTGTGTGAGGAGAGATTAATCAGACCGGGACTGCTCGACTTGGAAAAGAGACAACTGGGGGGGGGGGTGGGGGTGGGAGATGCTAGAGGCCTATAAAATCATGACAGGTGTGGAGAAAGTCAATAAGGAAGTGTTATTTACTCCTCATAACACAAGAACTAGGGGTCACCAAATGACATTAACAGGCAGCAGGTTTAAAACTAACTAAAGGATGTATTTTTTCACACAACGCACAGTCAACCTGTGGAACTCCTTGCCAGAGGATGTTGTGAAGGCCAAGACTATAACAGGGTTCAAAAAAGAACCAGATAAATTCATGGAGGATAGGTCCATCAATGGCTATTAGCCAGGACGGGCAGGGATGGTGTCCCTAGCCTCTGTTTGCCAGAGGCTTGGAATGGGTGACAGGGGATGGATCACTTGATGATTCCCTGCTCTGTTCATTCCCTCTGGGGCACCTGGCATTGGCCACTGTCGGAGGACAGGACACTGGGCTCGATGGACCTTTGGTCTGACCTGGTCTGGCTGCTCTTAGGAAGCAGCGATAGGTCTGTTGCAGGCCCTGGCCTCCCGCGCACAGAGCAAACCTGCAGTGAGCCCTTGGCCTGTGGCATGGACATAGCACAGCTCTCAGAGGCTAACGCAATCGCCCATGCTGCGGGCACCACATAGCCCCACCCTGCCCCCGTTAATCCGTGGAGCCAGCATGTTTCTTCGCTGTAGTGGGGACAGGGAGGTGTTAGAAATCTGACGCAGAAGCCAGCAGACGCGAGGAGGAAAGCTGCCTTCGTTAAGACCACAAGGATGGCGCTTCAGCTATAGATGCCTCTCTGCGAGCCGCTCTTCTGCCCCCAGACATGCCTCTCAAACGGGTGCAGGCTGGAGCGTCTGTTGCAATAATTAAGGCTGCGACTCTCTGTGACTTCCGCAGCAGCTGGTGTGGCTGATTTCAGGGCCAGCTACTCGGGCGACCCACAGCCAGCCACACCGGCCGCTACTGGAGGGACCTGGAGCCAGCTACTCCGGTGGTCCTGGGGCCACCCTCACCAGCCACTGCTTGGGATGCTCTGGGCAGCTGGCTCCGGGGACCGCCCAAGGGAGCGTCAGAGCAGCGGTCCCAGGGGTGCCCCGAGTGCAGTCCCGGGAGCAGCAGCTGGGGGGCAGTCAACCCCCAGCACTGGAGCAGGGCACCCTGGAGCAGTGGGGCCCCAGAAGTAGAGATTTAGACGGGTATTATTGGTAAAAGTCCTGGACAGGTCACAGGGCGGTGACTGGTTTATTGGACAGACAGACGGAGAGGAGGATACAGGATTTGCTGAGCCCAACGCCCGCAGTCCGGTGGCCCTGGGAGTCTGAGTCCATTATGGCCTTGACACCCAAAGCAATTTTTATTTATTACCTGTGACCTGTCCAGGACTTTTACCCAAAAGACCTCTGAGTACATCTTGGCCTTAGCACTAATGCGTGGAGACCAGGTTACTGTGCGCCCGTGTGGACGGGGCTGGAAGGGTGGCAGGGGCGAAGCTGCGGGTGGCAGGGGCTGACTGGTCAGGGATGGGATTGGGGGTGAGGGTCCCCAGGCACCACAGGGCAGGGAATGGCAAGGGGCAGCGCTCTCTTCTCCAGCCCACGCTCCCTGTCCGGGGGTGGGAGGGCGGTACCTGTGCCAGGAGGGGTGTGTGGCAGAGGGTCCGTGCAGCCCCCAGAGCTTAGCGGGGGCTTCCTAGTCCTGGGGGCTGCATAGGTCTCTTCCCCCTTCTCTTCCCTGCAGCCAGGCCGTGGGGGGGGGGGGGGAGATTCCTTCAAGGCTGAGAATAGGAAATGTGCCCCCCCGTCTCCGACTAACCTGGGGGGGGGCAGGCTCTGCGGTCCAAGCCCTGAGACAACCCCACCCTCACAGCCTTGGGGGGGGGCAGGGAGCAGAGTTCTGTCTCCTGGGACCGGGTGCGGTGGTGAGCCCGCGGGGGGAGGGGGCAGTCCCGGTCGGAGAGGCTGGCACAGCGCGGGGGCGGGTCTGGCATGGGGGGCGGGTCTGGCGCGGGAGCGGGAGGGGAGGGGGGGAGGCTGCCCACACCGGACAGGGCTCGGGCGGGGCCGGCAGGACAAGCGGTTCCCGAGCGCCCCGGGCCGTGCCAGCCTCCCCCGTGCGTCCTGGGCGCAGCCGGCATGAAGCAGCGGGAGGGAGACGGGCCCGGGCAGCCGGTGCCCCCCAGCTACGCCGGGGATCGGCCGCGGGCGGGCGGGAAGCTGCTGCTGGGGGGCGGCCGGGCCCCCCCGCGCTGGCTGCGCGTCGCCACCGTCTGCGCCTATTTCCTCTGCGTCTCGCTGGCCGCGCTGCTGCTGGTGATCTACTACGGGCTGGTGTGGGCGCCGCGGGGCCCCGGCGCGGAGAACGGCACCGAGCCCGGCCCGCGGGCCCCGCAGCTCTGCAACCACAGCGGGCCGGGGCCGGGGCTGCAGGAGGCGGCGGCCAAGGGGGCCCCGGGCGGCGGCCCGCGGCCAGCGCAGGAGGAGCGGAGCGGGCAGCAGGGCCCCGCGGGGCGCACGGGCTGGCGAGGCCGCGACGGGACCCACTGAGGCGCCGGAGGATGGAGCCGCCCCTGGGGGCTCCCCCCGTGGGACCGAGCCGGGCCAGGAGGGATGAGAGCAGGACGGAGCCGGGGCCCGCGGCCTGGGCGTGAAGGGCTCCGCAGGCATCGCTCGGGGCGCGCAGCGGGGACCGGACGGTGAAAGCCCCAAAGCGCAGAGCGGGCGGGGGGCAGGTCCCCCCTGCTGCCGGGGAGGCGCCCAGGAAAGTCCGGACAGCCTCAGGGGGCGGCCAAGGACGGGCCCGCGGGAGCCGTCAGCTCTCCAGGCCTGGGGGGCACGCGTGGCCGGCTGAGCCGGGAGAAGGGCCTGGAGACCCCGGGGGGCTGGCCGGTGCCAGGGTCGGAGGGCACCAGGCTAACCTAGCAGCATCGCCCCCCGACCCCAAGGCACCGTGTGCTGGCGCCAGGAGCCTGGGGTGCTTTGGGTGTCAAGGCCATAACTCAGACTCCCAGGGGCACCGGGCTGCGGGCCTTGGGCTCAGCAAATCCTGTATCCTCCTCTCCGTCTGTCTGTCCAATAAACCAGTCACTGCTCCTGCCCCAGCCTCTGTCCCGCCTCACGCCACAAACTTACCCATCGGGGGGTGGGGCAGGGGGCGGGGTGAGGTTTGCAGGGAGCATAGGGATGCGGGGAGCAGGGTGAGGGTGGGGGTTGGAGGGAGCGAGGGCCCGGGAGTTGGCGGGGGGGGGGGTTGCGAGGGAGGCGAGGGTGAGGGTGGGAGGAGCGAGGAGGTGAGGG